GAACTTCTTCCCTCTGAGGGTGACAGAGCCCTGGCCCAGGCTGCCCAGGGAGGCTGTGGAGTCTCCTTCTCTGGAGATATTCGAGCCCCGCCTGGCCGCGGTGCTGTGCAGCCTGCTCTGGGTGACCCTGCTTGGGCAGGGGGTTGGGCTGGGGGACCCACAGAGGGCCCTGCCAACCCCGAACATTCTGTGGTTCTGTGATCGCAGGGCAGCTCTGAGCAGGCCTTGCTGCCGCATCGCTGTCCTAAGCTGGGGGTGCGGTACTGGGGGTCCAGAGCACCCACAGCTCCAAGCTGTGCCTGCAGAGCAGCTGGAGACGATCTCCCCCCCACAGCCCATCTCCCTTTCACCACGGGCATCTCCTCCCCACACGTCTCCAGACCACATGTGTGCAGCGTAAAGAGTTTGTGCCATTAAGGAAGATGCTGCAGAAGTGCTGACGGGAGAGCTAGGGAAGCACAGGCGTGAGAACCTACCTCTGGCTTTCAGTCTCTGCATTTCTTCTGCCGGAACTTCAATGAAGTCGTGCCTGCCCTTCTCAGGGCTCTGGACCACGTACACCTCACTGCTCATCTCCTGCCTGCTCAGCTCCAGCTTCCTGACCTCCATCCCTGCGGAGGGGTAAAATCAAGTACTGAGCCAGGGTTCAGCCTTCCTCCAGAGCTACTGCTTCAGCAAAGCACCACAAGGACATTACAACCCCAGCCAAGATTCACAGCAGCAGCAGACAGACCCCTTTCAGTGCAAACCATGCACATCCGGCCTCAGGTTGTCTCCTGCACCCACAGGTTTCTTACAATCCTCTTACAATCCACAGCGTGAGAGGTGCCCCGACACCATGAGGCTCTGGCATGCAGGGAATGGGGAGAAGGTTGCAGGGTTAGCAAGAGATGAGCCAGAGGAGGAGAGGTGCCAGGACTTGGACTGGGAACTAGACGGGATGACTTAGCTGGGTCCTGGTGAGATGCCCTCCCCGCGCTCTGCCCGTGCCGCTCACCGACATTCCTGTGCTGGATCGTGATCTTCGTCCTCCCTGCGGTCAGCAGTGGGGCTAACTGTGACACCATTCTGTCACAGAGCTCAACAACAGCCATGGGCCCTCTGATAACCTGCAAACACAGAGGGAGCAATGGAAATCAGCACCTGCGCTGCCAGCTCACGCTTCCCACAGCTCACAAGAGTTTTCTGAAATGCTTGGTCCTTGGCAGAAAAAGAGGAGTTGGGACTCAAGGCTTTTGCTTTTCTTTTCTTTGATTTCTTCAATAAAGGATGTTTCTGGTTCCTTCAGCAACGGAGACAAGACTGGCAATGAAGGAAACTTGCTGGTCTATATTTCCGTGCTGGAAATAAATACCTATATAAAGTTCTGTAAAGAAAGTACTGATTTTTTAGACCTGACTCCTGATTTTTGCAAAGCTGTAGAACAACTTCTCCTCCTGGAAAAGGCTTCACCCAGAAACAGACTCCACTGCTGGAAGCGTAGCAGGTGACTGGCCCCATTGCTCACGGTGCTACGTGTGTTGGGCAGCACAAACGCCGCCCCTGGAGTACACAAGCTCAGACCCTTTCTCCCTCAGCGCGTACATCTGCTGCACCAGCCAGGCTGGCTGGTTTTATGCCACTGTTGAGAAGCTGTGAGTAGTTGTGGCCACAGAGACCTAAGCGACTCAGCGATGAGGTAAGCTTGAACTATTCATCATCCTTTCGTCTCTGGAGGTCCCTGGCTTGGTTCCTGGAGCACTGGCCGGGCCAGACGCTGTCACACATTTCCCAGAGACAGGTGGGAGTGCAGGCCATACAACAGACACAAAAGACCTGCCTGAGAAGGGAAGAAGCAATGGAGAAAATCCTGTCGGGGGTGGGGTGATGGAAATCCCGCACACAAAGCCTGATGGTGTTTTGAACAGTGTGGGGGCTGATGACAGATAGCTCCTTGGCAGCCCACCCATGGAAAATAGAACAAACCATGAGCGAAGGGCATTACCCTGCCAGAGACAGCAGGATGTGGGAGCAGCGAATCTACAGAGCACCGGGAATCTGCAAACTGTGTGTAACCCTGTAAATCCAGGCTGACAAGGTGGAGAAGCTTGAGGAGAGCAACAACCACTGGAGGGGTTTGCAAGGAAGGCACCACTGGACGGCACTTGTTTGCAGAAGAACTTGTTTGCACCTCCAACAAATGAGGTGACAGTAAGGCAGCTGGCCCTTATCTGAGCTGGCAAGGAGGCTCCATGCCCATGCTTGCAGCATTTTCACAAGCTCCAGATTATGGCTAGAAAGGCTACACGTGACCATGCAAGGACAGGTCCTCAGCCTGTGGTCATGCAGCAGGCCAGGGAGCTCCACACACAACAAAATGAACAGATGTGGCACACAGTGGCCAGACTGCTGGTGACACGGTTACCTGGCTGACTGATGACCATGTTTCGATATTCTGCTCTTCCAAGATTAACTCAGTCACTTCCATGTAATACTGGCCCAACTGCTCCAACATCTCCAGCTCCTCTCCCTCCTGGACTTCCACATCAGAAACTTGCTTTAGTAATTGAAGCACCGCAAGGAGGTCAGACGACTCCAGCACGGGTGTCTCTCCTTCCCTCAGAACAGTTGCCAAGAATTCAAGAGCACCAACAGCGACAGAGAGATTCATGTCTTGGACATCGCTTGTGAAGATGTTCTCAGGAATCTGCCATGGAAAAGATGTTTGTGTTCAGTGCAGAGCCCTGATTCTGCCTGATCGTCAGCTACGCCTTGGCAATGACTTGCATGCCCTCACTGGTGTGAGGACATCTGCATGGCTGACCAGGCATAGCTTAGGGGAAGGAGATCTGCCTTGGCATTTTGAACTCTCTCATCCAGCCTCTCAACCTCAGTGAGATGAGTCAACCTGATGCAACATGTTGCTTGTTTGATCACAGCACGAGTTAGAGCTGTACTGGTCACACCTTCTGACAGCAGCTCAGAAAAGGCCACAGGCATAACTGCTGGCAAGATGACCTCAAACACCAGAAGGTGCCAGCAAGTCCACCCCAACAGCTCCTGCCTGCTCCCGGTGTCAGCTTCTCAACCTCAGTGAGATGAGTCAACCTGATGCAACATGTTGCTTGTTTGATCACAGCACGAGTTAGAGCTGTACTGGTCACACCTTCTGACAGCAGCTCAGAAAAGGCCACAGGCATAACTGCTGGCAAGATGACCTCAAACACCAGAAGGTGCCAGCAAGTCCACCCCAACAGCTCCTGCCTGCTCCCGGTGTCAGCTGCCACTGCAGCGGCTGCAGGACTCACCACAGTCCTCTCTGCACGCGTGTTCACACGGCCGACAAGCGAACGGCTGGATTCCAGCTGTGCTTTTTTCAGTTCCCAGTACGCATCTGAGGATAAAACACAAGCATAATCGTTGCTGTGGTGTCTAGCAGTGTGGTTAACACATGCCACGTTCAAAGCCTGGGGAATGGTCCTCAGATGGCAGGTAAGTTTGTTGGACAGTCAGGACAAGGAGACTTCACAGCTGTATTTTATTTCTAGTACAAAATCTCATCTGGAGAGACAGCCTGACGCTCCTGTTCAGCCTCCTCCCCATGTGCCCCTGGCCAGTGAGTCTGGAGATGCCTGGCTTGGCAGGCACTCTGTGGCATTGCATCCAGAAGCCATGTAACGTGTACAACTGCTTAACTGCAGAACAGCAAAACAACCTGTCAGAGTGTGTGCAACTGACGCAAATTCACCGCTACAGCAGGCTTTGCGTGCTCTCTTCAGAGCAGACACGAGGCCTCCCCATCACTGGCCATCATCCTAGCTAGGACCTCCACGAGTGAATGCGTGGAAGTAATGAATAAATAAATAACAGATGCTGTACCCTTTCTGTAGCGACAGATAAAAGGCAACGACTGCAAACAAGACGTGAAACTGAATCCACTGCTGCCAACTTCAAAAACTCGGCATT